CTACCTAAAATCTTGCTCATAATACTGTTTTCCCTCCATTCATGAGCCAGTTTATTTTTCTTGGGACTTTATTTCTACCTTCTTCCCTTTCCTTTCCTTGCCATTAAAGTAACATGAGATGGTTGTTACCAGAGGGAGAGATACTTGATCCTTATGCTAAATGATCATCAGAATTCAACTTGATAAGCTAAAATTTGTACTAGTTTTAAAATTTTGAAAAAGATACTGTTCAGGGACTTACTTCCCTGGCAGTCCAGTGGTTAAGACTCCACGTTTCCTCTGCAGGGGACACCAGTTCAATCCCTGGTCGGGGAACTAAAATTCCCACATGCTGCTCGAGGCCAAAAACAAAAAAACAGAAACAAAAAAAGACCGTGTTCAAACTCGTATTTCCCATATTACATAAAGAATTTGATTGTTTTTTTTTTCCCTAGCCTTTATGGAGTTAAGGATTGAACCTCCTACAAAATAAGTTATTGAAGCTGTTACGTTTCTTGTTCTAGATTCTCTGAGACAGTAGGGTACAAATTAACAAGTATGTTTTTTTAGTCTCTTAAAGTTAAAAGAATTAAAGTCAACTTGAAGGTATTTGAATGACATCAGTATTAACAATATTGAAATCAACTTTTTTTTTTTTTTTTTTGGCCATACCATGTGGCTTGTGGGATCCTAGTTCCCCAGCCAGGGTTTGAACCTGGGACCTCAGCTGTGAAAGCACAGGGTCCTAACCACCGGACCACCAGGGAATTCCCTGAAATCAACATTTTGAATCAAGCCATAATTAGATTAAAAGTCCTGTGGGCCCTGTATTTTTATTGTTCTGGAAAGGGTAGGCTTACAAGATTAGCAGAGAAATGTGAAATAAATATTCTTGTTTTTTATATTTCTAACTTGAATCTTTTGACAATTTATTTCCTTAAAAATTTAGGAAACTGGTTAGTTAGAAGTGGTTCAGGCCGATATGAGGCTTGGTGTCTTAGAACTTTAAAGTTCAATTGTGACTTGAGTTATGTCACCTTCTTTACTCAAGAGCATATTATACAGTCGTAACGTATTCAAATTATTTTGTGGAACATTAAGCTCTATTAGATATCTTTATAAAGATTCCTTAAAATATCAGTGAAACAAATATTTCGTTTGACAATTCTTATTTCTAGGCTCAACCCAAGTATATTTAAAGTCTAGGATTTGAGGTTGTGAAATAACGGTAGAAAAAAGTTAATAAATATTTTCTTGTAAGACAGTCTTCATTTTCTGTTTTTTTGGTAGTGGTAATGGTGGTTTCAAAGCAAAGAGGGGTATGCTGTACAGTGATCTCTAAGGCTTTCTCTGTTTCCAAAATTCTGTAATTTTAAATAATCTTCAGTCTTAGCCATTTTATAAAAACTTGAAGTATAAAGCCAAACTTTGCTGCATTGTTTTAATGAAATAGTTTTATGTGAATTTTTTATACTGGAATGTTTAGTGTCATTAAAACAAATCAAGAAACAAAAACTCCTAAGCTGTCCATTAATATTATTAGATAGCTCAGAACTGTAGGTTATAGGAAGACTGGAGGGAATGGGGAGGAATAGCATGATTCACTTGCTATAAAAGGAATAATGGATTGCATTTTTCCATTATAATAAGTTCAAGGTACAAGAATCTGAATTTCTATGATTTGAAGTGTTTTATTTAATTTTAATTTAAAGAATTAAAATCATGTAGTTGATTCTTGATGATTTAGTATTAGGGAAATATATCTACTTTTTGAGCCCCTTTTTAATTTAAAATCTGATCTTAGCCTGCAACCTGTACCATCTTTACATAATGTTCCTCTCTTGTATACTTAATGCTTCAGTTTCTGCCCCCTTTATTTTTGCCTTAAAGTAGTTCCCTTCTTTCTGAGATTTCTCTGCTCTTAGAAAAACAAAAAGAAAATTTGTATACAACAATGTACATATTAAACAGTTTATTATTGATTGCAATGGCAATATGAGAATAACAGTATTGTTTTAGCCCTATACCTAATGATTAACTCTTGACTTAACTAAGTGACTTTGCTCGTTTATAAAAGTTCAGAAATGTTTTTTATCTTTAGCTTTGGAAGTAGATATACTATCTTTATTTTTTTTAATTTCTTTTTTTTTTTTTTTGGCCACACCGGCTGACATGCGGGACCTTAGTTCCCCGACCAGGGTTTGAACCCGTGCCCCCTGCACTGGGAATGTGGAGTCTTACTTACTGGACCACCAGGGAAGTCCCCAGATATACTATTTTTAAAAATTTGGTTGCATTAGCTTTCTCATCACTCTTCCGTAGACTGTAGGAAATCCTAAATGTGATTTCCTTTACTTTAACTTCTTAATCTACTCTCATTAAAAACTATAGGTAGATTCATAAATAGAATAAAAATTTTCAGTTTGAAAGGTACTTCTATAAGAAAGGAGAACATGTAAGGATATCTGTAGCCCAGTCAACTTAATTTTGAGATATAATTAATACTTAGTATTGTTAAGTATTACTACTGTTGAGGACCTCAGAGAATAGTATAGGATTTGAATTTAGATCATTACAATATTTCCTTTTTGAGAATAATAATATTACTGGGAGATATAAGAACATTTAAGCCAATAAAAATCAGTATTTTTGATTATTGAAAGTTTTTATTAATGAATATACATTCACTACCCTATACCAATGATTAAAGTTGAGTATACATTTGACTGAGCTTCCTAGCAACCTGAAATAAATTGCCTAAGAGAAACTTTCATCTTTTCAGGCACTAATATCTTAAAGAAACTTCCCGCATGATCTCTCTTCAGGGAGCATTCAAACAGATGATCGCAAGTCTCAAAAGTATTCTTAGAGTAAATATAGTTGAGAATTCTGCACGACTCATTCATAATACAAGATATTGTTATTCTCTTCCATCTTGAAATATATACTCTTGACTTCACTGAAACCACACACTGCCCTCTGTTTTCTCGAGATTGACCGCTCAGAGGAAGGGAACTTGAGAAACGTAGTTCCATTTACCCAACATTTTTTTGAGTGTCTACTATGTGCCCAGTACTCAGCTATAGACATTAGAGTTGCAAATTTAATAAAATGTGCTTCCTACCTGAATGTTTTGCATAGTTACTTACAGGAATGGTGGTCATTTTGGGCATCAGTGGAAGAGGGTACAGACTGTAAGATTAGAGAGGAGGGGACAGAAAAAAGACCACAATAATAGTCCATGAAGTATGGAATAATCCCTCGTAAATTAACACCGTGGCAGCAAGAATAGGGAGGAGGAGACTATAACTCTGTAGATTCTTGAGCTGGAATCAAAAGGATATAATGAATGGTTATGAGAGTTGAAGGAGAAAGGATAGCTAAGCTGCCTCCCAAATTTCTGGTTTGGGGGGACCAGGTAAATGGAGGTACTTTCTTATATTCTTAAATCATGATGTTGACATATGGCATTTAAAATTTTTTGTTAGATACATAATGTAACAAATATAATACCCATATGAACCATTGTTGAATACCTTTAAATCTATATGTGCTTTATAAGAAAAGCCTAAATCATACCTTTTCTTATTGACTTCTTTTTTTTAAAAGATCGAAATGTTCTTAGCCATGTTTCTAATAAGTAATTACTAAGATGAAGCTACTAGGACACATTTAAGAGCATGTGTAACTCATGCTTACTGTTTTTGGAGGGGAGGGATCAAGCAAAAATACACAAGGTCTGATTTAGAGTTCGTTGCATCTTTCACAACCAACTGTCGTGCATATGCACAACAGGTATTGTTGTGGTTTAAGAATACAAAGGTAAATAAAGAGTTATTCTTAAGGAGCTCAGATACTAGTAATGGACATAGGCATATAAACTGATAAATATGATTGTACAGTATGTAGGTGCTGTGATAGATATACACAAAAGAGGGGACCTAATCTCTGAAGGAAAGGAAGAGAGGGAATCAGGAAAGCTTCCAGAGGTGATTTCCATACTGGTTTTTTAAAAACTAGTTTTCTCAGATTTTAATTTTGAAACTTAACCCTATAGAAGTTTTAAATAAAGGACAAATGGGAGGAGTGTAATGGGTGAAGGGATCAAAAGGTACAGACTTGCAGTTACAAAAATAAGTCATGGAAATGTAACGTATAGCATGATGACTATAGTTATTAATACTCTATTGCATGTTTGAAAGTGGCTAAGAGAGTAGGTCTTAAAAGTCCTGATCCAAAAAAAAAATTTATAACTGTTGGTGACGGATATTAACTAGACTCATTGTGGAGATCATTTCTCAGTGTATACAAGTATCAAATTATGTTGTATACTTGGAACTAATATAATGTTATATGTCAGTTATACTTCAAAAAACAAGAAGGCAACAAACACCCATGTTTCATCAGTTAACATTTTGTCATATTTACTTTATTTCTATCATATGTATGATAGATATGTATGATATAAAATATATTTCAGAAGCATTTACAAGTAAACTTGTCAACAAAATGACACGATTCTTAAATATTTCAGCATGTGTGCCTTAAAGAATAAGGACATTCTCTAACACAGTTTTACAACCATGTTTAAGAAAATATTTGGTTTACTTTTTGTTATCTGAGTATGAGTTATCTTTTTTTATGTTTAGCAGTTTTGAAATTCCAGGCCGGTATTGTCCTGCTATTCAACTTACTTTTCTGTTATTGGTGCTGTGTTTTGAAAGATTTTGTAATAGACCTTATAAAAATTATCAGCACAGTAAATATCCTCCTGAAGTTACAATAAATTTTCATAGCAAATAGAATTTTTTGTATTAACTACTGTTTTAAATCTGCAAATTCAAGAATTGAGAAAACAAGATAGCATCAATTGAGATTTAAAGAGGAAGATTACCATTTCTCATAGATATGGTTTTAGATGTTTTGAATTGAGAGAGTTCAGTAGCAAGCTTTCTGAAGTTTTTGTATTTATGGAAATAATGTATGAGAAATATTTAGATGGCATCTGTTTCTGTTTTTAGACTGGGCTGGTTTAGATGAAGATGAAGATGCACATGTCTGGGAGGATAATTGGGATGATGACAATGTAGAGGATGACTTCTCTAATCAGTTACGGTAAGTTTTAAGCCAAATTTTTATATAGCTTAGTATTAATTGTAAGCATGGAATATGTAACTTATATATGACAATTGCCTTTGAAATAGATTTTCGAATTATGAAAAGTAAGATATATTGCCTCATCTCCTATGTTTCTAAACATGAATACTTTGTGTAATTGCATAGAACTTTTGTTCTTTCTAGTCTCTTTATAAAAGTAGTTAACTAGAAGCATATTTGCTATTTTTTTTAATCCTTGTAGGTTTAATTCTGTCACTGTTAATTTTCTATCAATATTGAACAACTCAGCAGAAATTAGAATCATAGGGTGCTCAGACCCAATGTATTGGTGATTCTCAAACTGGAATGGAGAGTGAGGTGTTGGGAGTGTATTTTTCCATATTCATGTACAAATCTACCTAAAATGATTGGTTGATTGATTATCAATCGATTGAAGTAAAATTTATATAATGTAAAATTAATCGTTTTAAAGTGTACAATTTAGTGGCATTTTGTATATTCATAATGTCATACAACTATCATCTGTATTTAATTCCAAAACATTTGCAGCACCCTAAAGGAAACACCATATCTATTAAGCAGTCACTCTGCATTCCTCTCCTCCTCCAGCCCCTGGCAACCGCTGATCTGCTTTCTGTCTCTGGATTTTCCTGTTCTGGATATTTCATATAAATGGTATCACATGAATGATCTGTATGTCTAGTTTCTTTCACTTAGTATAGTGTTTTTAAATTTCATCCATGTTGTAACATGTATCCGTATTTCATTCCTTTTTATGGTTAAATACTGTTTCCTTGTATACATAGGCCACAGTTTGTTTATCCATTCATCGGATGATGGACATTTGGGTTGTTTCCAGCTTTTGGCTGTTGTGAACAGTGTTACAGTGAACATTCATTTACACGTTTTTGTTTGAATATCTCTTCAGTTTTGTTGGGATTTAGTGGAATTGCTGGATCATATTGCAATTCTGTTTAACTTTTTGAGGAGTTGTCAAACTGTTTTCCACAGCAGCTGAATAATTTTACATTACTACCAGCAATATAGGAAGTTTCTAACCTCTCCACATCCTCGCCAAAACCTTTTTTTTTTTCTTTTTTTTTTTCATTTTAACCATCCTAGTGGATGAATTGGTATCTCATTGTGGTTTTGATTTGCATTTCTTTAATGATACTGATGAGCTTCTTTTCATGTGTTTGTTGGCCATTTGTATGTCTTTTTTGGAGAACTATCTGTTCAAGTCCTTTGCCCATTTTCAAAATTTGTCTTTTTGTTGTTGAGTTGTAAGAGTTCTTATTTATTCTGGCCCTTATGGGACATATTATCTACAGATATTTTGTCCCATTCTGTTAGGTTGTCTTTTCACTTTCTTCGTAGTGTTCTTTGCACAAAAGTCCAATTTATCTACTCTTTTAAGAACTCATTGCCAAATTCATGGTAATGAAAATTTATCCCTATGTTTTCTTGTAACAGTTCCAGAATTTTAGCTATTACATTTAGGTCTTTGATCTATTTTGCATGAATTTTTGTATATGGTGTGAAATAGGAGTCCAACTTCATTCTTTTCCATGTGGATATCCAGTTATACCAGCACCATTTGTAGACAATTCTTTCCTCCCTAATTTTGTTTTGATTCAACCCATACATTATCTATCTTGGCCACAAAGATATCTGTGTAAACTATCATTTGCTTTGCTCAAACCATGATATAGAAGTTCTATTGCAATCTTTTAATTTCCTAGTCTCTAGTACATTTTTCTAAAAAGTAGTGAGATAATTTATACTAAATTTTTAAAATTTATTTTTAGTAGTGGTACAGTAGCTTTTGTTCTAAACTGCATTTTTTTATGGGCTCAGAAACCCTACATTCTAAAGACTTTAGTATTTTGCTGGAAACCAGTAACAGTTTTACCCATCTCATTTCTCCCCTTGTTGGACATAGTACAGTTTGCCTTTCACGGTTATTCTGGCTCTTTTACAATTCTCCATGATTTCTCAAAATTGCTGACTCTCATTTTTTTCCTTCTTTCAGTACTCTGAGATGTAATTATTCAGGCCTTGAAACTTTAAACTACTTTAATGTAGTTTGGAATTATCTCATCTGTCTTAATTTTCAATTTTGTCTTAATGATGTTTTTCTTTTTGCAGTTTTATGGACAAGATAGAGCAGTAGCTGTTGAACAGTAATCTTGCTTTTTCTCTAAAATCTATTCTGAGCATTGGATCTCTCTCTTCTCATTCTTCTTTAGCCATATATGGCTTTCAGAAGCCCTTTTTGTTCTTTTTACAGATCTCATTCCATTCTGGGATTAAATTAATTCTGTGTGTACAAGTTTTTGCCACTTTCTTTTTGTATTTATTTTAGGTTTATTTATTTTGCCACATCAGAGAAAACCTTGCTGCCTTTTTTTTTTAATGCATCCCTTTTCTTTCTCATTATAAACATATGCTGTTAGAATACTTATTTTCAGGCCTTACAACTCTGTTGATCCCTATTTTGTGTTTTGATTTTAATCATGTATCAGTTTTTTCTTTTTGTTATCTTCTTGAAATTTTTAAAGTTGAAGCCAAATGAGTTTTCTTCCTTCGCTGTTCAGAAGAGTCAGATTCCTCCCAAGTGGGTTTTGGGGTGAGGGTGTTTTTCATTAGTCAGAAAATAGCACTTTTCTCTTAACAATTAAATCAAGACATTACTGAATACTTTGGTTTTATTAGGGGACTTTTAGTAGTAAATGTACTGATAATTGGATTTCTTGTCACTACTGCCTCTTGCCTTTTTATTGGTTTTGGAAATAGAACATTATCCTTATATTCTTTGTGGCTTGTTGGTTTTATAATATACCTCCACAGTGCTCTTATGTTCTATGTTGTGTTTCTGCCTTTAGGTTTGTGGATTTTTGTAAGTGTATAAATCTTGATACCTCCATTAGTGAATGAAATTTTTCTTTTTATTTCCCTATTTGTGTTGTGAGTTTTTCTTTTTTAAACAAAGTTTTTGATATATCATTAGTGCTGTCAAGTAGAACTTACTGTAGTTATGGAAATGTTCTATAAGCTGCACTGTCCAGTACAGAAGCCACTAGTCACATGTGGCTATTAAGCACATGAAATGTGGCCAGCACAGCCGATAAACTGAATTTTTAATTTTATTTAATTTTAATAGCCACATCTGATTACCATATTGGACAAGGCAGCCTCAGATAACATTTATATTCTTGCTTTTAAAAACTGTCTTGATTAACAAGTCTCCTGCAAAGATGTTCTTTTCAGTCTTTGTAAAATGCATCGAGGTCCTTAATGTGGTATTGTAAACCATGGTAAAGAACATGTTTTGTTTCGTTTTTTTGGCCGCGCCGCGCTCATCTTTCGGATCTTAGTTCCCCTACCAGGGATTGAACCTGGGCCTGGGCAGTGAAAGTGCTGAGTCCTAACCACTGGACTGCCAGGGAATTCCCCAAAAATGTTTTATTGTTTTCTCATATGATTGAGTCCTAATTCCATCTAAATTTAGAGAGGCAGTTTATACTCTAGAGTCAGTCAGATTCCCTGAGTTCCAGCCCCTATCTGCGTCTTATTTAGCTGCATGGCCTTGGCAAGGACTTAGCCTTAAACTTTCCATGTTTCTCTTTCAGTGTAATTTACCTTCAACAAGTAGAAGTACAAAGAAGGCCAGCAATGTTTCCATGTAACTAAAGATCATTCTGTTTTTACTGCTTTTGAAACATTTGTTTATGTACGTATCAGTAGAAATAGGTAGGATTATGAGATTTTTTTGACCTTTATCACATTTTACATAAAAATTCCAAAAAGCCAATAATTCCTGATTTACCATGTCAGATATAGCCAATGTCACATAGCAGAGTAGTTTCTTGGATAATAAGAGTTCTGAAACCTACTAGTGGCCGTTAGTCTTATTCTTGTTTTGTTGTAAAAGGAATGCTACTGTTTTTGTTTCAAATAGTGTGTATTCACTATATGTGCCCTATGATATCTTTCCAATTGTGCTGGATTTCTTTACTTTTTCATCTCTGTTGGATTTTTCCATTCAACAGGCTCATGATATTAGTGTTTTTGTGTTGTTTTGTACTTAGTGGTGTTCATTTATTTTCCTTTTGGTTTCTTACAAGTCCTGAATTCTACCAAAGAACTTTTCATCTTTTCTAAGAATTTAGCTAATTGAGAAATATCTCATACTCTCCTTTGTGTTTGTAAACAATTTATAAATGTAATTGGTCACCACCTCCTGTCATGAAGACAAACAGAGACAGAAACTCGGATGGATTTGGTGACTTATTACCTAAATCTTAGGTTGAATTTTGGGGTTTTTTTTTTGTAAAATAAGAGAAAATGAATAATCTACAATGATTTTGCTAAACGCAGCAGAAGTATTGTTTAAGAAAGTTTAAAATTATCTCCATTTTAAATAGGAAACATATGAAAGACAGGTATTATAATCTTTAATTTCCTGGGGAGGAGAGGACAAAGGAAGCATTTTAGTTAAATTTAGCAAAGGAGGCGGTAGAGTCAGAAACTTGTGCTGATCTCTTGACTCCTAATCCAGTGTTTTACCACCAGCCCATACTGTCCTCTACACCTGAGCAGAAGACAAAGATGATTCATATGAATAAGCTCTGGCCTTAATATTATTCATGGACTTTAGGTCAGTATTTGTATTATAAATATCTAAAGATTTTAAGGAAGTGAAGGAGTTTGGGGAAATGAATAATAAATGTTATACATCGTTCCTACCATGTATTTTTTGCATCACATTTACATTGGATAGTGTGATAGTGTCTAAGCGAAATTATGCTTGAGAACAAATGTCTTTTTATCTTACACGTAATGGTGTAATCATGCTTAACATTTGTACAATTTTATCATACGTTGGTCCTCACATAATTTTATTGTGAACTTTTTATAAAATTCTGATTTTATAAAATCAGAATTGTGGCGGAAAAGTTGCTGGTGATATTTGGAATGGTAGTTTAAATAAGTGATATTGATTACAGGGCTAAACCTTTTTGTGCAAATGTTTATACAAGGTAGATCAACAATTGCAGTTGACATTTTCAAAGTATGACTGAAATTTCAGGTTGAAAAAATAAATTATAAAAAGTATCTTTTTAAAGTGTTTATACCAATATACATTTTTGAGATCTTTATCCACATTTAAAGTTAGGAAAGTAAAGTCTTGTTTAATATTTTATAACTTGTTTATTATATTTAGCCTATATATATTTAATACAGAATAATTTTCACACCCTTACATTTGATTAATAATTTTTGATTTGTTTAGGGCAGTATATATGTCAGTATGAAAAGCGATCTGTTTATTGTTTATGTGTAAATAACAGTATTGTAATTATAAAATCTCTAAAAGTTTGATAGCAGTGTCTAGTGTTCTTAGCCATATGGTTAATGATTCTTAAAATTTATGTTTAAATATTATGAACAGAATAATTGTACAGTATTTGGAAAATATCAGTAATTCCCTCACATTTCTTCCATAAATAGATCATAAAAATAAGGAATATAAAACATAAGTTTACTAATGGGAAAACAAAATTTTATTAGCATTATTTGGATTCACATCCAGTTTCCTTCTTATATAGATTTCTTTTTGGGGACTAAAGTAAAGCTATTTGGTAGTATTTTAAATTGATGTTTAGGCTTATTAGCTCAATTATTTATTAATTGTGTTATTTCTAAAAATCATCTGTTTCTTTAATTTATCATGAAGAATGTCTAGTGATGTTGTTCTTTTGTGTTTCTTTATAGAGCTGAACTAGAGAAACATGGTTATAAGATGGAGACATCATAGCATCCAGAAGTGCTGAAGCAACCTAAACTTGAACTGTTTACTAAATTCTAGAGCAGAGAACCCAGGATGGGACACTTAAAAAATGTTTATTTCATTACCTCCTTGGATTTATTTTTGTTTTTGTAACACAAAAAATAAATGTTTTGATCTAATATTGGTTTGGTTCAGAAGTCTTGATCTTTTGACTCTCGTCATTAATTTTCTCATACTATTTGTGATTTTTCCAGAGCTTTATTATAGACAGACAGCAAAATTTCCTATTAATGAATTTTTTTTTTTTTAATGTTAACTGAGGCTCCGAGAGGTTAAATGATTTGAGGCCAGAATTCATCTGATTCCAAATTCAGTACTTTTCTTAAACCACATAGACTAAATGTTGGTCTTATTTATAAGGTACTCCTTTTAAAGTTACATTTAACCTTAATTTCATCTGTATTTTGAAAGCTTAGGCATTTACTGACATTTCTAAGGTGACCCTTCAAAACCTGTGTTTTTAAAATATTAATCATTTTAAATTGCTGTAATTAGTTCCTGAGCCATTAATAATATTAATAGTTGATAAAGTATTATTCTTAAAATCCAGAGTGGTTTGATCACACTTATAAGAATGATGTCTGTGTCAAAACTGGGTAAGTGGGCTCAAGATGCTTTGTTAACATGTGCATATTCTCAGATACTACAGAACAGATTCATTTAGTACAATTAAGTTTCTGCACAGTGATTACTGTTTCTACATCTACTTTTGTGAAGGGGGAGATTTAATTTGATTGGTAAAGGATTCTTATAAGACTTAGAATGGGGCTAATATATACAGTTTTAATTTGGAATATTTTCAAACTTGAATGTGTTACTTATTTAGAAGTAGAATCATTGGTACTGTGGAGTAGTTTAAAATCTAAAAGTTATGTAACATGATGTAGTATTGACACCAAAATAGGAGTTGGGCACCTGAAATATAATTTAAGGTATGCCTCGAAATGATTTTGAACATAAATAGGTTTTCTCCTACTAAGACAAACATGAATCTGCCTTGCCTACCAGGCAGAACTACTGTATGATCAGATGGAATAAAAAATAAGAAAGAACTTTGGAAATTATAAAAAAAACCTTATTGTTTTAATCATATAATGAAGCACAGGCAGCCATACTAATGTAGCATTTGAAGAAATATTCTGATGTATATTTTCTCAGTATTCTGGTAAGTGGTTTACAAGGACATTGTTAGACCCCATACCACCCTGACAATGTCAGATTAGTACCCAGAGATATGGCCACTTCATATACCTTGAATTTAAATTGGTGAGGTACCATTCTGAAACCTCACAGGAATTGGGCAGAGGTTTTAATGGGTTACCTCTAGTTTTTCAGTGTTTTGTCCTTAATAAGTTTTCAAAATTTAGGTGGCTTTCTCTGTTAAGGATTGAATACCTGAAAATTGATAGTTGGCATCAGGATGATGAAGCACATCATTGGTAGGAAGTTAGGCTAGCCAGGCAGCTGAAGAAAATTACTTTTATGGGATTTTGCAGTTAGTAGATATTCTTCAACTTTTGATCTTCACAGTGAACCTGTGAAGCAGGCAGGAAGGGCCTGTCTATTGTAGACATCTCATGAAATAGAAAACTGGGTCTCACAGAAAATAAGTTAAGAAATGAAAGGGTCCAAGGTTGCATAGCCAACAGTTGTCAGATGTGGATTAGAACCCAGGTTTTTTCCTTTGTAATTTTCCATAATCACTTAATTCCATTTGAATCATTTTGAATTCAAATTGTAGATGTAGTAATGGTCAGTATTTTTCATCAGGCCTTAGATTAAAATTGTTGCCATTGGATGCCATGTCCCTTCATACTGTTCCCACTAAATATTTAATTAAGATAACTATGATAATGAGCCAACTCTCTTTTGAAAGATTGTATAGTGTATTAATAATGCTTTTTTTGTGGCATGTCAAGATCTGCCCTGTATTTTTTTAAAGATATCCATATCTTTTTTCTCCCACACTTAACCTTAAGTTGAAAGAAGGAACATCTGCCACCCTTTGGCAGTGAGCTAATAATTTGCACTACTCTCAATCCACCCACATATATGACATTGAAGAGTTGGACTAGAGTTTTCTAGCTACCTTAATGGCTCCTGTTTTACTCCACTTTTAAATCTTGGTACGGGTCCAGTCTCTGCCCTAGGTCCACTTCTTGCTCTATCCATATACTTTCTTAGTAATCTTGTCTGGTCTCAGTTGCTTAAAACAAACAAACTCTTATTTGATTCTCTATTCTCAGTCTTGGCCTCTCCCTGAAACCCCAAACTCATAGTCAGCTAACAACTCCATCACCTCTCCAGTGTCTAATGAGTATCTTAAAGACAACTTGGTGAAAACAGAAACCTTGATAATCTTTCTCAAACCTGATCTTTTCTCTAGTCTGTTGCATCGCAGTGGGTGCCCGCTTTTCCCCAATGCTAAAGCCAGCACTGTTAGAACTGTTGTCGAATCCTCTCTTCTCCCAGGATTCAATCCCTTGACAAGCCCTGTCAACTCCATCCCCAAAGAATATCCCATGTATTTGATATCGTTGCCTGCTTAATGTCTATTTCATCCTTCCTCTTTTCTAACAAATACTCATATTTCCCCCTCAGGTATCCATCCTTCATTCACATAGGCCATGTGACTCAAGGCAAGCCAACCCCATTCCCAGTTCATCTCCTATACAAATGAATGAATGAGGGATGGACAGGCTTAATAAGTGTGGGCCAATGAAACAATGGGTTAGAGTCAAATGGCAGAGGGGAATTCTGGCTCTTGAAATAGCACATAAACTGAGGCTCTCCCTCTGGATATGAATAAGGGAGCACCTAGTCTCAATTGCTAGTGGCAGTCGTCTAACAACCATTCCAGTTTGAGGGTTAAAATGATTAGAAAATCTGGAAGAACATGGTTCTTTGATGTCATTTAACCTACTCTAGCACTAGGCTTCCTGAAAATAAGCTTATGAATTTCGTTATTTAAGACATCTTAGGTTGGGTATTTGGTTTCTTAGCATATCCAGAATCTGTCTACTTCCACTTACTAGTGTCTTAGTCTAAACCACCACCATCGTTGACTAGGATTTTCTGCAGTGTTCACCTAACTGGTCCCTGCTGCTATTTTCTCTGCCCTATAGTCTTTTGGGAAAAACAGAGGAATCTTGTTAAAATTTAGATCCTGTCACCCCTTAAATGCCATCAAGGGCTTCTTAAAGCAGCATAAAATCTGAAGAATAAGTAAAAAATCACCTAAGCAGAAAATGATTAAACTGCACGTAGTTGCTTGAACGTGCCAGGGGCCTTTGTACCAGTTGTTGCCTGCAATGCTTGCCTTCTTCATCCTCACAAGTCAGGCCTTCCCTATTCACTCAGTCTAAGGTATCCACCTAGTTGATCCGTAAGAGGTTACCAGGAAAAAAATGCTCTTCAATAATACTTGATTTTTCCATTAATGTTGCAATGCTAATGATAAGAAAAGTATGTTTTCAGAAAGTAATGGTGAATGATGACCAGAATATTGACTTGGTTTTACTCTGTCTGAAGTTGTCTTGGGAGGTTGATGGATTGCCAGAAAGGTTAATGCAGGATAAATTTCATTTTATGGTAGATATGGTTTGAATCCACTTGTCAGGTTGAATCACTATATTGTTATTCCTTTTGTTCCACAGATGTCATGGAATTAAATGAAGTTTATACTTCTGCCCTTTTTGTTACCCTTTGGCTACCGTTTATTATTCAGCAACTATTAGAACAATATCAGTAATGGCAATAAGGTAGGATGACATTTTAGAGTAAGGTGACTATTAGATAGTCTTACAGTTTTTTCCCAATGAAGATAATATTTAGAGTTATAGGAAGGACCATTACTAACATTGTAGTCGTACACAGAAAATTTAAAAGTATATAGATTGTTATCTTCACCTGAGCCAGCATACCTTTATTTACAATGTAATATTGTATATTTTTCCTCTTGGTATCGTTTTTGTTCTTTGGTTAGTTTGTTTTGTTTATTATTGGTCTCCTGTTTTAGGTTGTGAATTCTTTAAAGGTAGAACCCCTTTTGTATTCATCTTAATACCTCCTTGTCTTAGTTTGGGTTCTCTTGGAGGCAGACCTAGAGATAAGGATTTGAATGTTTATTACAGGGTTCACAGGGGAATTTGGAGAGTGAGGCAAGAAATGGAGGGAAGCTAATAAAGAGTGTTTATCAAGTAAGCTACAACCTTAATTCTACCTGGGAATTCTGGGAGGCCATTTATAACATACCTCAGTTACTTGAACCATGGGACTAGTGGGCCAGGGTATTTACCAACTCCAGTCAGTCATTGGTTGAGGGTGAGTCTGAGTGGAAAATTGTTAATTCTCCAGTAACTTATGGTTTGGCCCATGTGCATGGAGAGTTCATTTCTCACTGCCAGGGAAAGACTTCAGGCAGAATCATAGCTGCTGACAGTTGGAAGTGAGGCTGTCCTCCCTGGAAATGGTAAGTGATGAATGAATAAGGGCAGGGCACTGACAACATCTGCACATCCCTAGGCTATACTTGATGTGTCATATTTACTATAAAGTAAATCTTGAAACCATTGAGTAGGAGATCAGAAGAAGCATTGGCAGAATCAGCATAGACCAGGAAGTAGAGATATCTTTTAATAATGAGAGATGACTTTTGCCTTCCTTCTTGGTTATCAGACACAAATCCATATAAGTCATGTCATCTAATTGGTTGTACCAATTCAAAACTTGTATCCTGCTATAAGAGGTCATTAGGATCACCAATGACAATGAAATATACTTTTAATTGTTACCTGCAGGGAAAATGTCCTGCAGAAAAATTTTCATAACTTTTTGCTTTGACCAAAATAATGGCATCATTGAAGTTCAGTAACTATTCAATAAATTGATCACATGAATCTTGTTTATATTTTCAAGATTAATCTCAAGGTAAAATAATATGCTTTTATCTACATTAGTGTTAATAAGTAAATAAAGATGACTTTAATAAGGATGTTTGAATTTTGCAAACCTCATACTCAAAGACTCATTGTTGGCATTTTATGTGTAGAAACCTGTGGTCCAAGTTAATAGGAAGTATCTTAATGATGTTGATTATGATATTCCTAAGTAGAGGAATGG